AACAGCACCACTGACCACCAGCACTGCAATCACCCAGCACCACAACCATACAACCAACAGCACCACAACCACTACACCAAAACAGCACCACAACCACCAGCACTACAACCACCAGCACCACGACCACTACAACCACCAGCACCACAACCACTATGACCACCAGCACCACAACCACTACAACCAACAGCACCACAACCACCAGCACTACAACCACCAGCACTACAGCCACTACCATTATAACCACCAACACCACTACCACTACAACCACCACCACCACCACAACCACTACAACCAACAGCACCACAACCACCAGCACTACAGCCACTTCCATTATAACTCCAATTACCACAACCCCAGCACCAGAACCACTACCACTATAACCACCAGCACCACAACCACTACCACTATAACCACCAGCACCAACCACTACCACACACAACCACCAGCACCACAACCACTACCACTACAACCACCAGCACCACAACCACTACCACTACAACCACCAACACCACAACCACCTGCACTACATGTTACAACCACTACCACTATAACCACCATCACCACAACCACTACCACTATAACCACCAGTACCGCATCCACTACCACTACAACCAGCAGCACCAACAACACTTTAATCACAACCATCACCGCCACCCCCATCACCGCTAGCGTCGCCGCCGCCACCAACAACAACAAAACCCTACCCAGCTCCTCCTTCCGTCACTCACTGAAATGATAACAGATCTCAACTTGGAGATTAATAATATCTCTCTCTCTCTCTCTCTCTCTCTGTGTCAAGTTAGTCAGTTTTTTCCTTGTGGTGGCCGCGCGACACAACACAACACGGAGCAGGACAAGCGGGGCCCCGACATCCCCCTAACCCTCTCCCCTGTCTGCTTTACAGTTTTTTGTTTACAAGAAGCCGTTTTTGTAAGAGCATCCGGATACGCTGCGTCTTCCCTCCATGTGTTTTTAAGAGAATCCGACTTCAACACATCACCATAGCACGTAGAAAATCCTGACGTGTGTGACATATACAGTACATATACTGTATATTCACTGCTAGGGAGATAATATATTATGAGAAAGGGTTGGATCTATTTGCATTTAGGTCTACTTACTCTTTCTCTAAGCCGCCCAACAGGGTTTTGGCATGGTAAGGGTTGGTTTAATCATCTGGAACTGAATTGTATTGACTGTTGCTGTGAATTAAGGCAAGAGATGGTGTTTATTGTTTACAAATGATCACACACACACACACACGCACACACACATTAAATCCTTGCCCGCTCCTACTGCAGAGCTGCCCCGGCGTATGTTGGCCCATTCCTCAAGTCCCTCTCCTCGACTCATCCTCACCACCGGGATATCAACATAATCCCATCAAAAGTGACAATTTCGTTTTGGAAAGAAGTGGGACCAGTGTTGAACAGTGATAAACAGTGTTTAAGCCATTGAATTCAGCACTAGACAGTACCAGTGAGAGCCATGACCTACCAGTGAGGTCCACACCCAGAGATAAGTACCCCTGGGAACCGACCACCATCTTCTGACCAGCCGTTGTGAATTAGTCCACCCTGGGAACAACCAGTGCCGGATTTAGACCTGTGGAGGCCCATGGGCAGCCTCTTTGTGGAGGCCTCCCTCATTATAACTACCCAAGAGGGTGGGGTGGCGAGTGAAGCGAGCCTAAACATCTGGGAGTTGCGGGGGGCGCTGTAAGTCCCCTGGGAAAATTTTGAAATTTGAACACTTCTTTGGAGAATTTTGAAGCCATATGCAGTTATATTGAGGAAATTAGAACATTGAGAAATTTTTAATTAACTGTATATTTATTGATAGTGTACAAATTCCCAACACACACACACACACACACAAAAGTGAGACATGACTGGAGTCATTCATGTGGTTTCAAGTCGACCAGCCCTGATATGTGGAGGCCCCCAGATTGTGGAGGCCCCTGGGCAGCTGCCCACTTTACCCACTCCTGAATCCGGCCATGGGAACAACCGTGGGTCGGTTTTGCACCTCATCACGAGAAAACATAACACCACTTAGCAGAGTGAGGTACTGTGACACCGCCTACCACACGGCGTCTGCCTGACCAATGAGAACATAAGAACATAAGAATGGAGGAAACTGCAGCGGGCCTATTGGCCCATACTGGGCAGTCCCGTTTACACCCAACCCCTATTGCTCATATAAGCATCCAACCTATGTTTGAAGCTATCCAGCGTATTCGAGTTAATGATGATATTTGGTAACTTGTTCCATTCATCCACTACTCTGTTTCAAACCAGTGTTTACCTATTTCACGCCTAAATCTAAATTTGTCTAATTTAAAACCATTGTTACGAGTTCGCTCCTGGTTGGATAGTTTGAGTACCTTTGTAATGTCCCCTTTGTTTAACCCTGACTTCCACTTATACACCTCTATCAGGTCGCCCCTCGCTCTACGTCTCTCGAGGGAGTGCAAATTAAGATGCTTTAACCTGTCTCTATACTCAAGGTTCCTAATGCGGGATTAGTCTTGTCATTCTCCTCTGAATTCTTTCCAATGATTCTATATCCATCCTGTAATACGGTGACCAGAACTGAACTGCGTAATCCAGGTGTGGTCTCACAAGCCCAAGATACAGTTTTAGGATGACCTCGCTAGTCTTGTAACTAACATTCCTTTGTCTGAACCCAAGGACTTTATTAGCCTTGTTACGAGCAAAACACATTGTTTACTTGGCTTGAGGTTCCTACTTATCCTTACTCCTAAATTTCTCTCGCAGTCGGATTTCTCTATGGCATCGTTGTTCATCTGGTATCTGGTTTCCCTGTTTACATCTATACTGAGTACTTTACATTTGTCCACATTGAATTTCATCTGCCATTTATCAGACCATTCAAAAAGTTTGTTTAGATCTTCCTGTAGTTTTGTGGAGTCCTCGTCAGATTTAATTACACGCCCTATTTTAGTGTCATCAGCAAATTTACTTATGTTGCTGTCTATGCCGATATCTATGTCGTTTATGTATATAATAAATAATAATGGTCCAAGTACTGAGCCTTGGGGAACTCCACTTGTGACGTTGCTCCAATGGGACTTAGTGCCGTTAATGCTCACTCGCTGTTTCCTGTCCTGAGGACGAGTTACTACACCACGTGAACACTACACCACCCCGTGTCTCCACGGTCACGTGAGGACCTTCATGTCAACATCTACGGACGAGCTACTGCACCACCTGGCCTGCGTGACCTCACACAATAGGGCAAGAGACCAGCCCGAGCCATCAACTGTAAACCTATAAAAGTTGTATGTTCAATTCATGTTCCTTCTAATTTTAGTATTGAAAGCTTTTGTTAAACGACCCACCCACCCCATGTCTTTGTATGTAATAAGTCATTTCTATCCAATGTAAATTTTCAGCGTTCGGGCTGCTTAACTTTTTCAATAAACCGTTAATTAATATTACACATACCGTCAACAAACACAATAAAACATATACACCCTCCACAAACACACAAAGAAACACATAAAGCCTCCACAAACAAACACACACATCACAGCAAAACTACACCAGTATCATCCCAACTTACAAGAAAAAAAAAACAAATAAATTTCCACAATTCTTAAAACAGCATTCTTATCGCCGAGTTGCCAGCGAGTGACTCCTTCCCCGCTTCTTAATCTTCATCTGAATTATCTTCTTGTTATCCTTTTTCGCTTTCCAGATGTTTTTGTTACTGATTGTCACAGCGATTGAGTAGATCCATCTGGATTTAATCTGATTATCCATCCGGTCTGTTGTTTTCTGATGGATTCCAGCCGCGTCATAAACTTCTGATTGGAGAATTTCATTTCGTTGGTATTTTATTAAATCATAAAATTTCTTCCATGTCCTTTTCTATTTTATGTTTTTTACGATTTTTGAAAGTTTCGTTTTTCAAGTTTATTTCGTCCTTTTTTCTATTTTTCGTTCAAGATTTTGTTTTCGTTTTTGAATATTTATATTTTATATATTTAGTTGGATAATAATTGACAAACGATGTAGTTACACGTGTTGATTCGTACGACTGAATGAGGAAATGGGAACTTAGATAGAGTCTAAACGAGATTACCTTTCAATTTCCTTTAGTAATTCGCGTATTTTTTTAATTTATTGACATGTATTATGCTCTCTCTCTATATATATAAATTTATTTGTTAATTTCTTTCTCTTTCTTTACCATATCATTTATTTATTTATTTATTTATTTATTTATTTGGTGTATATATCGCCCGGAGTTTCCTTGATTATCTCTTAAAACTGTCACACTTATTACCTCATCTCTCTTTCAACTCAGGACCTCCATCTCTCTCTTTTCTCTCACCTTTTCCTCCTTCCCGATTCTTCCTCCTTCCTTCCAGACTATTCATCTGGTTTGTTTCTTTTCCACCATTCCTCCCTCCCCACTATCTCCGTTTTCTTCCTCTCACCCTCTTCCTTAACCATGTTCCATCTCCTCCTCCTCAACCTCCTTCCATACCCTCCAATTCTTCCCTTCCTTTACCACCTCCTTTCACTCTCTTTTCTTCTCCCTTTACCCCACTAAATG